TGGAGTAAAAGTGGCATTTTATTGCTCTGGAAAGGACACCCTTTCATATATGATTCATTGAGTTCGGTTTAAGGGCCAAAATAACATTGTATTGGGCATCCTCCTTTGAGGCGTACGTGGGGTTCTCAAGAATCGATCCCATCCTTACCTTTATACGATGCGCATTTGTACCTATAAGATATTTTACCTCTGTATCTTTTCAACGAATGTATTTGACGACAGACGTCTGTACGTCATAACGTACTAAATATGTACCTATCTGTACATTTCTGCTTTACTCAGTGGCATTTCAGAGGAGTTCATCGGAGTATAAATATCCTCCTGTATTACAGAACTTATAGCGTTTACATGCTGGGGATGGAACATTCAGTTTCTGACTCGAATCCCAAAGGACTCAGACTCGCCCCCAAAATTCCATGAGTACGATCTCTTGATACAACGGAAATCAGAGGTTTAACTCGGAAAGTCTTATTCATGATAATTGCCGCACCGGATACGGGGGAAATGAGAACGTGATACCTTCTCTCTGTTGGGAAAAGAACATCTATGAAACTCAGTACGCCCTGCCTCATGCCTCACCCAGAAGATCCAAATTTCCAGGGTGCCGGCGGCCAGCAACATGCGGACAAAAAGGCAAATTATACTTTCAAGCTACAGAAAAGGAAATATAAAACGGGACCACATCGAACATGCTTCTCGTATGGGCTAACGTCTCGAGAAATGAAAGATAGGGTTTATCATCCAATTACCATTCGGGAGAAGCTGATTGAGCTTGAGACTTTCGATTCTTCATGCATGGATCCGCTTCATGAAATATTTACTTCACTTGGCTTACAGAGAGAGACCGAAGCCGGCTTTCGTCGAGGAAGCACGTGCATCCAAGTCTAATCGGAGAAGGTTTAGGACTCCATCTGGATCGTGTGCGTTTCGGTGGTTCTGGGACTAATATTCGTGGCAATACCGCAAGAAAATCTTATAGACATGGCACCAGATAGCAAAACAACTGTGAATGATTTTCTCTAACATTTTGGGAACCCCACAGGTCTAGCTGGAGAGATTTCACAGGAGTAGCGGTAACATCATCGAGGAAACTCATGGATGTCGAGCAATTCAAAGCATCATGATTTCGCAGCAAAATAAAGAGAGCTCGAGTTGCAGAAGTGATGGTGATGTGAGTGGAGATCCTGCGTCGCAAATGCCGCCGATGACGCACCCAGGGGGGGGGGGGGGGGGGGGAAGCTTCCAGTGGGTCTGACTAGAAATGATTGCGAGTGATTTTTTACTCGTGATCACGAGAGGAAAGCCATCTCTCTATCGTGTAAACTCACGATTTAATATTGTTTGAGAATCACGAACACGAACGATAATTGCGACCGCAAATTAAACTCACGCAAAACATCACTTGCGATCCTTCGGGAATCGTTTCACGCGCGATAGCCTCCACTTGCTTTTTTATAAAATTACTTGAATTTTTTTTTCCTTCTGACAATAGAAAGGAATTGTAATTGATTTAGGGTAGCCGTACGGCACTTGATTCACGTAGTAATTACGTGTTAACAAGTTATCGCGCATAAAAATTAACATGTTCGGATAATTAGAGGAGTGTGGTCTTTCTTCCAGAATTCTTGAAAAGCTCTCGCTTAGAGCCGAACTTGCGGGAACACCAAACTCCCTTTGCATAGCATCCGAGTTATGATAGCCCACGCAATGACAGGACCAAAGAAATCAATTCTCCGAAGGCGAATAAAAGGAAGATTTGAAAAAGACAACAATTTGTTGACTTTTCCAAGCCCCCGGGAAGAGCTTGCATGAGAATGTGGAATTTCCGGCGTTCCCACGGGTTCCATCTTCAAAGAGTCCATTACAAGCTGCGGCTTGAGTCTGGGAGTGTCAGAAACTGACAAAGTTGCTCTGCCGAAAAAAAGCCTTATTAACTCACGAGCACTCACGGTCTGGAGCGAGTGAATTCCATTCTCGTCACGATCACAGTACGTGGCTTCGTCGAACCTCAGCGCGAGTAACGACTCACGAAAAATGTCGTGAGTCATACTTGAAGCACGCGTGAAGCGGGACTCACGTACACCTCTAGTTCGAACGCCACTCCCCTCCCCCCTCACCCCTCTGCCCCCCCCCCCATTTCGAACCCCCCCCCCCCCCCCCCCCCCCCCCCCCCCCCCCCCCCCCCATCCGTAGACACAATTATCTCTTCTGACAGCGGTTTTGGTGAATTCTCTCAAAACACAAGTCGGGTTGCGCCACTGCATTCAGTATATTCGTTCAGACCATGAAGGATATCAGATAAACAAAGGAACAATAGAAGGCCTGAAAGGAAAGCCAGACTATCTCCAAAACCCCTGCTTCCGCAAGAAACAAGGATTATTCTTGCGACCGTCTTCTTAAAAGTGAGGAAAGATGTGCATAGATTAGCATCTAGATTTTTTTTTAACGCACACAGCTAATACCTTCAGTGGAAAGAAGGGCCTGTCTGTATTTTTGATGAACTGTCCGTTTCCTGAGCCTTTTGGATAGATGGCTTTTCCTTTAAGCCCATCAATAATGCTGTCACCCAGAGTCGTTGGCTTCTTGGCCCGTAGGCAAAGTCTGCCCTTCTTTAAAACATTACGCCCCATGATCCCCAAATGGGGACCTAGCCTTTTTTAATTTAAAATACTACAGCACTTAATTTTGCAATAATTATTTGTCGAAAGTTCGAGGGATTGAGAGTTCTTTCACTCCGGTTTGCACGAAGTGAAATAAATAATATTCCAATTTATGTACTATATTTTACTGATCCACATATCAACACAAGCTTAAACCTCATTTTCTCACTTTCAAAAAAATTTCCAGTAAAAATCCGAAAACCATCCCTAAGAGTTTGAATTTTTTTCCTCAAATTTTTTTTCAAGGTGACAGTTGCATTTTTCATGGGGTGAAAATAGTATAGCTACTGGAAAAAAAAAAACATGAGGGAAAAATCCCCTTCATGGAGATTCTACCCTCATGGTTTTTCCCGTAGAGGGGAAAATTTTTTTTCTTCATATATTTCCACTCAGCTCCACCAACTTTTTTGTCTATATTTTCGTGCATTAATTTTCCCCTCGGCTCATGCGGTATCTCCTCTGAGAAGTTCTAGCACTCACTGAGGATGACTGGCAACAATGACGATTTATTCGTCATTCCTTTTTTCTCCTGCCCTTACGGGAACTCCATATTCAGATTTCATGCATGATATCAAATATGGGCATACAGGGGTGCTTTGATCGGAATGTACATAGTACAAATAAAAATTATCTATGGGAGACTGTATTTGGAAGCCGTCCAGTTCATATAATATTTTGGCCATTCTTAATGAATATGGAGCTATACGTGGTTCATATATAAGCACCATATATGGGGCTTAGTTGCAATGTATATGGCACACATAATAATTTGGTATGTTTTGGCTATATTTAATATATTGGATATATGTAACTATATATTATCATATACAGGTCCCTCATACAGTTCTTAATTTGCAATATACAGTAGATGGCCCCCGCATGCATTAATGACAAATTGAAGCAGAGGCTCAGATGCAAAGTCACTCAGCATCGAAACTTTGACAGGTGTATTTGTGACTCACTTCACAAGGGGAACCTCACTCCCTCTATGCATTGGGCAAGAATTACCTGGAGTCTCCTTAAGCTAGGTTACGTCTCTCGATATATGCATAGATTAAAACGACTTCATTCCTTCGGTTTCATTCCTTCGGTTTGTACGTGCGAAATTAGCGAGTTGAGGGTGAAAGCTTCTGCAGAACCATTCATTAGAATTTGGGGAATCGGGAGACAGATAGCGGCGGGATAAGCGCGACCTCGCTTATATTGTGAGAACTTTATATTTATTGAACAAACTGCTAGATGCCGGGCCATATGGAAGGCCTCAAAGTGCATGCGTGTGCATCCATGGATATTACATGGACTGAACAGTTTCCAAGTATATTCTAAATACAGTATTTTTTCCGTATAGTTTATATTAGTGTCATATACATTGCAAACCTAGCACCATATATGGGGGTCTGAATATGAACCATATATAGTTCCATATTTATTAAGAATGGCCAAAACATGATAAGGACTGAAATGTTTCCAAACATGGCAAAATGCAATACTGTAAAATACCATACATACGCCTGTATTTAGAAGTTCCGTAAGGGAGATAAGACACGAATAATTTCTCTTATTTATCGAACATCGTATTCCGACCATATAGAGATTTTACAGAGCATTAAAAGAAGAGTTACCCCGCCTCTTCCGCTTGTTATCACCACCTCATGTTAGAATCTACCCATAAATTTGCTTCACTCATCATATATGATGTTCCTCCTGAGACTTCGTGAATTTGAGAACTTGTTCGGAAAACCTGGTATTCTGGATGATGTGCCTCAGCATTTTCAAGCAATCAGGGATGAGGGTAAGTAAAATACGTCAGCGATTTTATTTTAATCTCCCCGGACAAATTCTGAGCACTTGATTTAGCACATCGCGTCATCCCCAGATAGGAACCAGAACACGAGCCTTGTCTTATATTCATCAAGAATTCCCAGACTGACATGTTGAAGGAATGCCTTTCGAAAGGCCGAATTTAAATGTGTGCCGATATCCAAAATATACAAAAGGCTTGAGTTACCAATGCGAAACGTCACATGAGACACGATTTAACATCATTTATTAATTATATTTCCTGTTAGATGACCCTGGGCGACAACGTGGAGCAGCGGACACCTCTATCTGGGAGGACCAATCACGAAATGGGATTCCACGCAAGAAGTTCTGGGGGGAGGGGAAGCGTTCCAGTGTTCTGTATGTTTCACATCACGACATTTTGTTCGAGACGCGCGCGGACGCCTAAACAAAAATAGGACCAGACATTCTTGCTTTGCGTGAGTGAAATATGACGTCCATAATCTTCATGCAGGAGATCTCCGCCGTCACGTCATACAACATCATTGTTAGATTTTCTTACGAGAGACCGGAGGCGGAGGCGAAGACGCCAACATCCGGAGTAAAGGATAAAAAATGACGTAAAGATATGACGGAGGGAAGAACCTTCAGGAGATGAAGGTGGAGAAGGGATCCCGTCATCCATAAAGACAGGGATTGCAAAATTTCTCCCTCAAATCCACTCTCTATCCTCTTCGTCTCCAGGGGCACGGGGGGATTGTGCTCATACGTCCACTCCACCCCCTTCTGTCCGAGGCTCTCTAGGATTTTCTTATTCTCCTTCTCATCAAACCTCGGTACAACTCCTTTCCGTTCTAAAAAAAAATAGAAAACAGGACGGAAAAATGAAAAATAAAAGGTGAAATATGTTATGCACTCCATATAATTTCATATCTCCATTTCATACTTCCACATGACATCTCTCGGGATTTATTCTTAGTAAATGGAACTCCCACCTCCTGCCGCTTCGACACAGTCACTATGTCGGCATGCACTCTTTCAAAATTTCCTCATGCCCGTAATATCGAGAGAATTTTACAAGTTGTGAATTTAAGAATTGGCATTCCATCGACAGTCGCGAGACGACTCCTTTCGATTCGAGACCGTTAAGAAATCGAAGAAAGGAAGAGTATCCCGCTGGGAATCCACGAATACAGGCTTTATCTACCATATTAGAAGGGAGAATTTTCGGATCGGTTCTCGGAGCAGTGTAGCGCAACGAACGGGATGCAGAGAGACGAGATTCGCAGGAGCGGCAGGACACACGATGGCACGATGCAACCCCAGCAGAATACGAGACGTTTTTACTGTACTGTGCACCGCATCGCGTGTTCCGTTTCGCCTCGATGCAGATTGACGATGGCATACGTGAATGGAATCACGTTGGAAACAGTGTTTTAATAAATATTTCGAGGACTCAAGTACAATACCGGCTGCATCGCACTCTTTACATAGAAGCGCTGTCGCTTTGGTCCCTAATGGAAAATTCCTATAGGAATCCTATGGGAATCCCATAGGATTTTCGAATCCAAACATCCTATGGAAATTCCTTAAACCTATGGGATTCTTATGAGAATTCCATCAACACATGAGATTCCCATAGGAATCCCATGAAAAAAACCATGAAATTCCCATGGGATTTTCAAGTCCGTAAATCCTATGGAAATCCCATAAACCCATGGGATATCCATGAATTTATGAGATTCACATGAGAATGAGATGATTTGATGACCCCTTCTTGCATTCGGATACATTTGAAAGAAAAGTCATTAGAACTTTCCCGAAACATCTAACTCCCGCCACCCTCAACTTTAGGACTGGTTGCGCTCCTGCGGGTACACCATAAAAAAGTTCAAATTAATGTTTGACAATAATAAATACTGTACAATAGTCAGTCCAACAAGAAAATTAATACGAGGGTATTATTTTCTAAGAAGTTAGGGGAAGAATGTGTTGGGCGTCACACTTTCGTGACAATTAAATCCGGTCACCTTAATCATTAATTACCTCAGTAGATAATCTAATATGAAATGAAACAGAAGGATATCATGATCTCAATATCATATCTAGATTCATCTCGGTTTTCACAATCGAGTTATGATATTCAAATCTATCGGGGGAGCATCCACTTACCAGAATAATAGCAATATCCCCAATCAGTGAATGGGGAGGAGGAAGATGGAGAAAGGTCGTTCTTGATGGCTTCCCATGTTTCTTTCTCAAGGGAGAGGATTTTTCCAGTGATTTCGTCCAAAAAGTCCCCTCTCCCTACCGCCTCCTCGCCGATTCGATTTCCTGCCTCGTCCCACGTTGGATACTACCACCCGAAGAAAGGAACATGAGACATCTTATTAAAATAAAATCAGGGAATTTTAAGCTCTCCATCCTTCTAGAGAAGGGGATAATTTCGGAAGGTATATCCTCGTAGACAAGAGTATTGCACACGAAACAAATAATTACTGCTGTGAAGACGGCGACTTTGTCGGGAGCATTCGGAACTTTCGTGTTTGGTGAGGCAGAGTATATCTGCATATGCATAAAGACCGGTAACGTCGGCTGCGCTCGGCTCCTTGCACTATAATGCAATGCAAACCTTTGGTGGGATTGGAGCTTTCAAAGTAGGGCAATGAGGAGCAGTCAGGTTCCAACCACAATCAGAAACTTGATTATGATTGAGAAAGACAATGTGGAATGTATTATTAAATATGCACAAGAGTTCGTCAACTCAGTTCAGTAACGTTATATATTGCAACACATGTAACCTGGGATATAAAGTGCCAACCTTCGGAGGATTCTGCCGGCAGTATGTGACAATGTGGAAATTGAATAGTTGTAGTAGACCTAGCACTGTGTAAATTCTACCAATTAATTAATATATTACCTTAATTTCGGTTTTCGCGTATTCTATGAAGTTTTAATCGAGACGGAACTACGTGGGATATAATTTTTTAGGCTCTTTGATAATTGCTCCTATCTGAATCCATCGGCATCTGCCGATGGATTTTATGAATCCCATTTAATTCCAACTGGTTGAGTTCAAAACATTTTCCTTCAGGATATTAAGCATTAGCGGTAAAATCAGGAAATTGCTCCATTGTAATTTCGCGCAATTTTCGCAGGGCTTCACTAGTGTATAGATAAAGGAAGAGAAACACACTAACCTCGAGGAACTTCCCTTTTTCATCTAATAGAAGCGCGTCTCCGTTGAGGAGAGAGAGGTTCATGGGAAATTTTTTTTCCATAGGTTCGATACGTTTTTCTTCCAGCATCGTGTTCCATAATTCAGTATGGGAAGGAATGCTGTCTATAACAATGAATTGAACTCTGCTCCTCGATATGACTTCCAGAAGCCACTCGTCAGTAATGTTTATGGAGATGATCACAGTTGCCTCACAACCCCAAAACTCCCTCGGGTGCAAGAAATGAACTTGAGAGAGGCTTGCATGCGTAGTCTTTAGGAAAGATAACAGGCTTTCATTAGAAACCAATACATATGGTTCCTCATCGTCATGTATATTGGATAGAGCAAAGTCGAGCAAGAGAGATAGAACACGCTCGTTGATTTTGATAAATGGAGCACAATCCTGTCTTCCCTTGCAATGATATCCCCAATGCTGTCCTGAGCAATCGTAACAAGGCTTCATGTATAGGATCTTGCCGGAGACAGTGGCGCTAGGTGTTGATATTGTGTACAAACTTTTTGCATTCAACTTCAAAACTGTCGAGGTCTCATTTCCTTCGATATGACGAATCAGTTTCATGTCTGTCGGCTGAGTCTGGAGTTGAATGACATTGCAACTCCTATTCTTCCGCAACACTTCCATGACCTTTTCAAGGGAAATATTATTGGCGTTCTCTGAGTGGGACGTGAAGGAGAGAATGAGTTTCTTCTTCTTTTTCTTCAGTAGCTTCACGATCCTTTCTATCATTTGCTCATCTTCCATCACCTTCAATATTGGACAGTCTTCCACGATTACGACCATTGGACCCCGGCGAACCAACAGCATAAATATCTCTGTTAGTTTGTTATTTTCCCACCTCGGAACATATTTCACACACTGCGTAAGGGCGTTTTCGAACGCCAGCAAATTTTCAAAACGAGACTTTGTGTCTCCAATTTCCTCTCCTACTGCTACATTTTCCTCGATGAGTTTCACATATTCCTCATTTTTCCAGCGCTGTCGAAATAGCTCTCTAGACAACGGGCTTCCCCAATGGAAAAGAAGAACGCGACCCCGATTCCTTATCACTCGCTCTATCACTCTGTCTAATTTCCTGGATTTTCCTGACGCCGGATATCCAAATATCCCAGAGAGCCGGTGTGACAGCATTTCTTCTATTTCTTCTTCGTCTTCTCCCTTCGCTCTATCCCGATTTAACTCCATGACAGGAGGAGGAGGAGGAGAATTTGCAAGAGAGAAGGAATCATCCTCCAAACAATCAATCGCTTTCTTTTTATTTTGCTTCCATCCCCTTCTCAATTCCAGGTAGAGATCTTCACTGGGATTCACCCTTCGAATGTTCTTGGACGGGATGTCCTTCTTGACCGCGGAGAATTTTCCCGTAGTTAACTCATCTTCCTCAATCAAGAGGATTTTGTTATCCTTTCCAGTGGCTACAACCATCCGGATGTAGTTTACCCATTGTGACTGCGGGAAATCCACCACCACTGTCATATTCTTCAGATGGCATCCCATCATTTCACATTCTGTGACGACGACAATAGGAAGCGAATTATCGTGTGTCGTCGTTCCCGTCACTTTCCACTCCCATGTCCCTCTTATGCCATTTGGGATCTTAGAGAGGACATACCTGTAGATAGGAACGCCCAATCTAGAAGAGATAACTTTGACGAGAGATGACTTTATTTCGCTATTGATCATTATGAAGAGTGGCAGCTTTCGTGACGACTCTGTTTCTTCTCTATGTATTTCCTTGATGGCAAAAAAAGCCCTGATGGCCTGACACGTTAGCTTGTCCTCGCATGCACGATGCAGGGCTTGACACGAGGGAATCAAAACGAAGTGGGGAAGCCGTCGTCCACTTGAATCATTTACAGACATCTTGAAAGAGCGTTCAGATGAAACAAAAACCCGTCTATAAAAATTGCCAACGGCTATAAAAAGTTGGGATATACTGATGCTATTCCTTTTGATATCTTTTAGGATTATGATGGGGTAATTTCCAGGCTTCACTTCCTGGAGTAGAAAGTCTCGAGAGTATGACTGGTCGTTAGGTCTGAAACAGATAGTTATGGACTTGTGATTCTGCAGGTTTAGGATCCATTGCCAATGGTCAGAAAGGGCTTTAGGCGTGATAACTTGTGTAAAACAGAATGTTATAGGGACTTCATCAACAATTACATGTTTCCTATATCCATACTTCTCCAGAAAATTCTTGAACGTTTCCAGATCGTCTTCGACGTCCTCATTTCTCCTGTCGACGACTTCGATCTTCTTCTCCCCTGTTTAAGAAGAAATCCTTAACCCATTTCTCGTATCTACGACCTAGAATACAATGCTCACCTATATCCAATCAGGCTGACCTATAATATTTTCCAACCCTATTTAACAATATCGTATTTTATCATAAAGGAACATGTACTGTTAATTTTTTTTCATTAGAAAATATGGAAAATGTTTGCAGTACATTATGCGCCTTCAAAATGCACGAATGACATTAATATAACATGAGTTAAACATATAAGGGATATGTGGATTTTAGGAAGCGATCCTCCAGGAAATTTCCTTGCTTTAATGAAAATACAGAATTTGCACCTGCAATTCCTGAGAATGTCCCCAACATCTAGAGCTCGACAGTGTTAGGTGGCCGAGTGACTTGCTGCCGTGTGAAACCTGGGAGGCGAAAGATCGCGTCCCGGCAGCCAGGGAACACTTTCTCCCTATACAGAAACCCAGCTACTTTCATGAGTAGTGTCAGTTTAACGTAAGCTGCCTCTGCATTTCCAATGCTTTAATCGTGAGATCCTGTGACTCGCCAAGGAATCAGCAAAAACAATTCAGGCAATGGAGTTGAATACAGAAGTTCCGTCACTCTTTTGTCATTTTTGGTTAATTGGGGTGGAACGACCAATATTAAATATTGTGCAAATCGTTTTTCAAAGGATATCCCTTTTCTTGAATTCCTCTCCTGAGCATTGTGGCAGTTGCCATATCTTCAACGATGAGCAAATATAACTTTACCTATCATTAATTGCGATTATCTAAAGAAACATCGCGAGAAAATATGCCTAGCTACTACCAACCCCATTAGCACATAACATTGATTTAACGTTGTTTCAACGTTCGGTTGCTGAATCAACGTTAAGTCAATGTTGTTTCAATGTTATGTGCTACTAGGGAATGGACTGTCTGCAGGTCATGCCGGCGGACCTCTTTTGCTTAAAATAACCTCAAACCTAAACTAATGGATGTTTGTACCCAGTCAAAATCCTGGCTCAAATTCAGAACAATTCCTGCTGATTTCGGGTGGTGCTAGCGAGTAGGTTGGGTTAGAAAAGGGTCACGGCCTTCGGCAGCGACTATTTCCTAGCCCAACTGAACCATCACTACCTAGAATAGGATGAATTTCTCATTCGGCCAAACAAAGAAGGAATGCGGCTCTCTTGGTTTGTGCTTGTCCTTTCTTCTCTGAGGCAAATTAGATTGGGTTCATAGTAGAAACTAAAAATTACTGAATAGACCTTAGCAATGGTGCTTATTATTGCAAGGAAAGCGGGAGTACCTCCCTCCAAGAAGGGAGCTGCCATGATGAACTGAGGTTCAGCATTGCAGCTCCTTTCTACAGCATTCTCCAGTGAGAATAATGTAAACAATTGAATACCTCAAATTTCTTAATCCTACGTTATCCTGCGCGAAAATTGGTATCTTTCGACTCCTCCTATGGAACACTGTGGAAACAGGAAACCGGAAAGTGATGTTGATATTATCCGGAAGTACGCCGGAAAATGTTTGAATTTGCATATTTGAAGCAAAACCAATATAGTTGTAGACAGCGAGCAAGTAAAGCAAGCTAAATTTGTGCGTCTACTTCAGATCCACGATTTTACTTCATGTTCCGTTTGTCATCCTTTGCCCAATTCGGTGAAGGGTATTTCCCTTTTGCGCACAAGTTTCTGATTTGTAACGTCCACTTCCTCAGGACACTACTTCTAAGGTTTCGCTGTGTTCATTTGAACTTTTTTCTCTCGAGTTTTGATATCAGAGTATTTGCAATTATCCCAGTCTAGGGCTTTACTGTCTGGTTACAGTATTTCCCACATGACGTATTCAACTGAGAGGATCTCATGCTTACAATGACCGGCAGGTCTTTCCCCATCATTTGGCAGTAACTTCCTTTTGTCATTTTCGCCACCGGAAAATGAGGCCATAATTTCACAGTGTTTTCAACTCTTTTGCCAGATGGATATGACATAACAGGCATTTTTCGTAATCAATGCATTTGGGACTAATAAATCTGATTTGTTTTCTACCTACGTCACCTCCACTCAATGGAAAGGCTTGACTATGAGTATGGACGTCTCTAACCTTTAAAGAGCTTCCGGTAATAATTCGTGAGAAGTCCCCCGGCGAAATTCACTACTAACACTTCCGCATTGTCTTCTTTAGAACATTGGATTGCTCTCTCCTGCAACACAAGGGTTTTCCCCGTCCCCGAGCCTCCTGCTATGAACACAAATTTCGATTGGCTTTCCACCGCGCTTTTCTGATCAGGAGTTAGAATGCACAGAGCTTTTTCCAGGGCATCATCACTACTTCGAACTGTGAAGTCCCAATGATGTGTTCGGGGCACATCAATAGAAGAAGAGATGCAGACTTGGAGGGAAAAAATGCTGTTGTATATCTTTTTTGCACTTTTTGTAAAGTTGGCGCCAGTGTCCGGGAACTTCACACCGTTGTCTTTGAGAAAACATTCAAGATTTTCTGGACCCTTTATGTCGTCCTTTGTAATAATCTTTTTAAGACATGAATCACATTGCAATGATTTACCTAAGGACTCTCTGTCAATGAAGGGAATGGACGGAAATCCAACAACGATTGTTCTAGGTCCTATGTAGGATTCACACAAAGCATTGAATATATGCATTTCGAGTTTACATAGCTCAATCGCTTCCGTGACCATGGTCCTGATCGTTTCCGTGTCCACATTAGGGGAAGCAGATGGGATTTGGAAGAAAATGTTATAAACATCGTTTCCAGTAGGAAATGTGAGGTATAATGAACGCTTCCTTTTCTTGAATTCCGTAATGTCTCGTTCTGTCCTCAGAATCCTCATAATGAAATGATTCACAGTCGCGCACCACTTGTTATCAGCGATCGTTAAAGACGGTTTGCCTTGACAGATGGCCTTGATACGATCGAAAAGAACCACCATGGCTTCATAATCTGGAGAAATGTCCGATTCGTCTCCGCATTCTGTCTGTGGTTGAGATAGGAGACGACGAGCATGCTTATTTCTCCAAATATTGCATGATGGGAGGGAATATTGCATTTCTCCAACTCTAGGATACTGTTCCATCATATACTTCTCCACTGCTTTCCTAAGAGGTTCCTCTATGTCAGCACCCATGTAGACCTAGAGAGAATGAATATATATAAAAGTTATTTAAGTAAGATAGTTACACAATAAATTTTCCTGAACTCAGCGTGCGACTTATCAGTCAGCTACTCACGATCGTCTATATATAATAAAAGTAGCATTTTTGATTTACTGAGCTATACATCAGGTTCTTCTTTGCCAAGTTTAAACTTTCTAGCGCCCTCAGTTTTGCTAAATCAGAAATTCGAGAAAATACGCTCTTTGCAATAGTTGCAATATTCGATTATAACGCCTTGAGGCGTTATAATCGAAAAGTACCTTCTTTTTTTACGGAAATCAATCCTCAGAAAACTATTAATACATGCCTGCAAAGTTTCAACCTTATACTATTCCACTTTTCCCTGGTGAAAAAACATGTTTAGAAAAGCCGATCCACCCAAAAGCTATGCTCGGAAGCGATGCACCATGGAAGATGAATACTCCCTCAACTCAATATCATGTCACTTATACGTGTGCCAAGTTTCACTTTTCCATTTCTGTCCAATTCGCCACGACAAAATTTTTTTTAAACATCGCCCCTCAAAGAAATTTCCCCCGAGGATGTATGGAGACTTAACATTTTTCTTTAACTCCTTGTCCCAGTAGTCACATTCATGCAAAGTTCCAGCTTTCCATGTTAATTAGTTTAGCTAATGCAAAAAAAACTATTTGAAAAAATCTTACTTTGAAATGTATACTCCCGTGGCATTCATTTCCAAAGTCTGCATTTTTCTGCGCGCAGTATCCCAATAGGTAGTTATGTACCAAGTTTAATCTTTCCACTCCACCTCAATGTGCCAGGACAAAAAAAAAATTTCTTGAAAACATGGGCCCAAAAAAATATGCCCTTAGGGCACGGATCTAAAATTTTACATTTTCCTGAACTCATCGTCTCGGTAGGCACGTCCATGCCAGGTTTTAGCTTTCAATATCTCTCCGTTTTATTCAAACAAAAATAATATCATGAAGGGAGGATGAGCAATGGAACATGGAAGGCAAGAGAAGCCAAAAATGGAATGGCTGGGAATTGAACCCAGGCCTCTTCATTGCTGGTTAGGTGTGCTACCGATAAACCACCAAAACCGGAACATCCAGTCGTCCCTCTCGATGCCATTCTTATCCGTCACAATATATATTTTTTAAAAGTTTCTCCCCCCAAAATGTACCATGTCCTCAGGGCATGTACCTCCAAAGTCGGATTTTTTCTGAACTCTGCATCCCAAAAGGTACATGAGTACCAAGTTTCAGATTTCTAACCTTTCCAGAACATGGTTAGAATTAGCGTCACTCACTCAGTCAGTCACGATCGTCTATATATATTAGATAATAAAAACAAGTAATAAACAAGTAATAAGTAATATAAATTCAACCAATTGGTCGCCCCCATTCCTCTCCCCACAGAGGGATATTATAGATATTCATGGGATATTATAGATACGGGGTGGTCCAGGTCAAGTGTAACGAACAAAAGTGCAATTTTCTGAGAAACACCGAGTTTTATTAATATGAAATGTGCACTGTATGTTCCTGACATAATGTACCAGACTTCACGTAAATTTCACTCAATGTGGCCATCTTAGGCCTTGATTGTGGCCTTTAATCTCTTCTCGAAGTTGTTGAACCAAACGAACGAAATCTTTTCTAAGATAACCCAGACTCTGGTGCGACTTGGAACAGGCCTTAGATTTGGAGATTTACCATATGGCGTTGTTAAAAATGTTCAAATCTGCAAACGACAGGACCACTCTTCCTTGGTGAAGAACCTTGGCAAATTATTCCGACAATGGTCATGGGTTACATAAGCCGTATGTGACGTTGCTCCGTCCTGCTGGAAAGTCCAAGGCTCATCCCCGAAAAGATCTTTTGCCTATGGGGGCAGGGCGTCCTGCAGGATGGATTTTATGAAGTTGGTGTTGATTTTGATGCCCTCAGGAACAAAGGCAAGGGGGGACTTGCCCTTGTTGGTGAAGGCCGCGCACGCCGTAACTGAGACCGGCTTCTGGGTGCGGAACACTATTCCAGCATGATCGAATATCTCCTCTTGACTTCGTGCCAAAATCCGATCATTTTGCATGTTGTGGACTACCTGCACCGAGAATAACTTCTCGTCCGAGAGGAAGATGTTGGGGGCCGAAACATTCTTGAGCCTCCCCCGCATTTGATGACTTCAGGACAGTCTTGGTCGTTGTATTGAGGAGCTGTCATTTCTGCAGCCAGTAGTAGTTGAAACCTAGGTCGTCTTGACCATTCTCATCATCGTCGACCTCGAGAAAATCTTTTGTTTCACCACCTTCCTGTTGGACGTGTTGGAATTGCGCCAGAGCTAACGCCAGACTTGCTTTACCAATTTATTCGTTCTCGTCGTTTTCCTGCTGCCTCCAGATCGTTTGGCAGTGGAGTCTGTCTCAAGGCATCGATCCAATATCCATTTGATGAAGGCTGGGCCCAAAATCAACTTTTTGCCCGCCTTTTTAATATCCGGTCTTTTCAGGTCCTGTTCTTGCAGTTCCACGAATAATGCCCGCCTGGCTTCAATCGCCATTTCTACCGCTTGTGTTCGAACGACGGTCACATTCAAGACTGGATTAAACATCAGAAACGTACAATTCCAACGAGTAACAATTGAATTGCAGGAGTTAAGCATTTGGCTAAGCGGGGACTTTGAAATTTTGTTATACTTGGCCTGAACCACCCTGCAATTTCCGCTTTCAATTCTCCACAATGGATTTTCTATGATTCTTCCATTGATAATCATAAAAATGTGCAACTCAGACTGCGTCTGTAACTGAAAAAAGTCCACACCGCCTGAGCATTATCGGTATTCACTCGTTACTCTGAACATTGTGCACCTGCTATATCAGGAATATGCATATTACGTTTTCCTCCAATGCTATATGTAAAGTTTCTATTTCAATAAGTAAAAAGTGGGTTTATTCCATTGTGCATGCAATATTTGTCTAAGTCAGAGATATGCTAAGGTTCCTTTAGCTCCTTTAGCCTAAGGACTCTGTTACAACACTGGCAGTGTGCGATGATGCGTAGTTCTGGGGCAATATAATATTTACATTGGCCAGTTCCGTGCGCCAATAATCCACACCTGGTAACAAGCTCCGTTTCTGGCAAGTGTTTGTAATACTCGCCATGCATGGTCTGGCCCTTGGGAACTGCTTGAGCCAATATTGCGCATATTTTTTTTCAAGGAAGGACTTACAGAATCGTAAGTATATGTTGATAGAATCAGTCCTGTAACTTCGCAAATCGTGCAGGACACCCAGCGACACTCTGTTTATATTCGGCTCATCCGAATCTTTGCTATGGTTTTGGGGGAGAGTCCTGGAGTTTCTGCAGTAGCATCAATGGACAGGCGCCGGTCGGAAATCAACATATTATCCACATATTGGATGCTTTGGTCGAAACTCGCAGTTCTGGGCCTTCTAGAAGGGGCTCGTTTCTGCTAGGAACTCTTCGGGCAGCGAGCACCTGCGGCCCATAAATTTCATTAATAAAACATCACCAAAATCTTATCCTCACCCTCAACAACGAAACAATCGAGGATAAATTTCTGTTGATGACCTCCGATTAGTCCTGATATAGTTGTGCACACGACCGCTCTATGGTAGCGGCATGATCTTCCTGATTGCACCTCAACAAGATGCAATATGTTTGATACTAGTACAGGTATGTACTTTTTGAGAATTCGTCTTTTTCCAGTTTGCTGGGACGTGCAGGCCTTCTCGATTAAAGACTTACTATAACCAATTGTAATCCCGGACAGTTGGAACCCCAACCTTAAGACTTTCTTTCATGCCACTAAGAACTAAAACTGTGTCAACCGCTTTCTATATAGTTGCTGTATCTTACATATCTTACTTTTTAGTCATCAGGAAATGTTAAGCGAATTCACTGACCACGAGGCTATCCAGGATATTAAGTCCATCAAGATGTTCGAACTCAGTCCGTGAAGTCAATTCCTTGAGTTGATCGCAAAATTGGCACATTTCTTGAACCTGAAGCAGAAGCGCAAAATAATCATAATCAATCAACATCATCATTGCAATTCGTTCGATACGCAAGAAAGGTCTCATGTCACAGATTCGAAGCAAACATAAGGTTTTAGTTAATGATTGAAGCTCTTGTGATGCCGAAGTTCTACCTTAATTTATGCCGAATTTCGTATCTAGATGGTATAACAATAACAATATAATAGCAAATATACACCTTTTGAACGAGTGTAATTGGCATTGGCTATTTGGATTTTAACATTTCAACTGTAAGGACCTTCACGTCAGTCATAAGAGCTATAGGTATTTGAAGAAGTTAGGAGAAAATAAATCGCAGGAAGTAAACGGAGACAGAATTTTTCATGGATTTGGAGATGGAACTCAAGTTCTCTCACGCACAAGAGACGAACGCTAAATGCAATAGGATTCCATGCTTCATCATACGTATTTCATATCTAAATTTGCAATAGAATAATAGTTTTTCATCGTATGCTTCGTCCTACATCGAACCATGGAGAGTGATAAAGGGTAAAATAATTTTTCAATGACTAGAAATCCATAGAAAATTTGAATTACCTGCACAGAAACATAAGAAATTCGTAAAATTCATACCTGTGCAATGTCGTTTTCTGGATAGTGTATTGGAGAATCAGGAACTTGTGGCACAAATGGTCCTACGTCTTCCGATTTCTCCGAATCTGACAAAAAAGGACGTTTTAAAAAGTTTAATTTTCTTTTTTATCTCTGCACGGTTAAACACAGCCCAGCGACACGATAGAGATGTCACATCTTTTGTTTCTACGCTCTAATGTGACTGAAAATTCATTCACCAAATCCTTGTTTAAATTACACGTTTAGATATATGGGGTGTAGCTTCCTAAATTGTCAGCCATTGCAAATGGCCTCCACGATCTCCAGATTTTGATCCCTTGTGATTTTCTTCACTGGGCCTATTTAAAGACATTGTTATGAGATAAAACCGACAGATCTAATCAGATGGATAAATAATGTTTCTCGTGCCGTGTGTCAGAAAATTCATGGAATTCTCATGGATATTGCCGATTATGCAATTGAGAAGGCTCCGAAATGTCAAGAAATAGGCGGTTGACACATTGAGCGAATATGTCCAGTAATTCCTTTTTTTAGATTTTGAATTCAAACAATACCATGATAACTTTACATAGTTGAATTTGAAGTTGAATAATACTTCTTCTCTATTCCAATGAATGAAAGAAATTATAAACACCAGATGAGCGAAATTAATTCTCGACCGCGCCAAAGTAGGAGAAAAGATCTGACACTATTATGAGATCGGGACGTTGTCAATCAAAAGCTTAAAATTATTTACTTTGGGGACTATTATAAAAAGTAGCTCATAGGTAGATACATTTTGGTCATCCTGTACATTCACGCATTCACTATTTTTTTATCCCTCCCCTCCAGTAGTCGAGGGGATGGTGTGTGGTGGAGGAGTCCCGATATTGTTTCAAAAGAAGTAAGCAATTTCCATTCCAAGCATATTCTACGAGGTTAAAAAGTTATTTTGCATTACAATCCATGCATGCGATATCCTCGGTCTGCAATAACTTTAATATGCATCTGCAATATGTGACCAGGTATTATTATCAATCAGAAACCGGACCCTATTGCACAGCAACAGGGCCGAACCATGTTTGATCCTTATACATGTGTTCCATTACACCACCATCCACATACATGTGAAAGTCAGACCAGCCATTAATGATTAAAAGTGATAACGTCTATACCCCACCATGAGTATTTCATCACCTTTTGTCACAAATTTCTCAGAAAAATAACTCCGTGACTCTTGATCTATTGGGTTGGAAAGAAACTCTTGCAACACTCTGCGCAAATTATTCAAAAGTGTATAACTTTATTGAAATGCCTTTTCAGTCTACAATGTAATGACCATTGTTGTCTATATCATGTTCCCAACGCACAGGTAACTGCTCGATGCCCTTTGCCCAGAACTCTGGCGATTGCGAAGCGAAGAAAAGGCCGACATCATTTTCCAGCTGTGCTCGAAGGGCACGGGGGCCCGGAACAAGTGATAGTCGGAAGGGGCCAAGTCCAGAGAATACGCTGGATGGGGTATAACTTCAGAGCCCAGTTCCAAAATTGTCTGGCGAGTCATCTTCGCAACATGTGGACGAGCGTTGTCATGCAGAAGGAGAACATTGTCGCGTTTGGGACGCTCTTTTTAAATGACGCCAGCCAACTTCTGAAGTCGAGTAGCGTAGACGACGGCAGTCACGGTGGTACCGGTTAGCAGGAGCTCATAGTACAACATTCCTTCTGAATCCCACCGACAGCAGAGAAGAACCTTCTTCTCGTGGAACCCTGGTTTTGGTTCGTGTGTAGGCAATTCTCCTCGTGGAAGCCACTGACTCTTGCGAGTATGGTTGACGTAGAGGACCCAGCTCTCATATCCAGTAACGATTTCCTTCAGAAGGTCCTTTCTGTGCGGACGAAGGAGCAGTGATTCGCAGACACTGACACGGCTTGCTTTGTCAGAGTCGCCGAACCCATGTCGAGTAAACCTTCCGATAGCTGAGGTCGTTCAGAAGGTTGCCAATGGCCATATGGGTGACTCCAAGTGTAGTCCCCAATTCGCGAGTGGTGGCGTTCGGCTTCGCGCCGAGGGCGTTCCGCAGGGCTTCGCCAGAAAGTGTTGCAAGACTTTCTTTCCAACCCAATATATAATAGGCTTGGCAGATTTGTTGCATAATAATTTTCTAAATTAACTAAATCTTGAGAGAAAGCTTGTTGAGAGTTGCGTGGAGTTCCTGGACTTGTTTGAAGTAAACTCGAAGTTCATTTAATGCATATTTTTATAGTAGGTTTTTCACAATACCTAAAATGATAGTTAAATCTCAAAAGGACTCCATTAAAAAAGTTCACTATGGTTGGTAGCTAAGTCAAAATTGAGCTAAGTCAAAACGTTTCACAAGGTATGGATGGGCAGGTGTACAGTTTCAATAATTATGCATGAACAAAAACGTCAATGGCGAAGTTGGAAATTGGAATACCTTTCCCTGAAAAATGAATTGGTTGGGGCTTTCATGAAACTCCATAATATCGTATGCATCTTCCAAAGGAGTGTCCTGGAAAATCGACATGTTTTAAATTTTAAGGAGTACAGTTACTATGCAGACAGCAAGACACTGATTCTTCTTTTGCTAGCTTTCAGGTTCAAAATGGGCATCGTGAAGGAGGAGAAGAATGATCTCCAACATGGATTCCTAAGTCTTTTATTTTCATTTGTTTATGTCATTTCCTTCATTTTGTGAATAAATCCCTCGTAAATACGGTTATTGGAACATACAACTTCTGTCTGGCTAAACACGGGCCAAATACAATAATTACAATTTCTCATAAGCATATCTCCTCTTTGCACCATGAAAATTACCAGAATTGGTCAATTTCACATTCCGCTCATTTGTAGAACCCCCTTAGGATATTTTTTACTCTGACTCGATCCCCCGATTCGAGTTTACATCCGCAATCCCTAGGTAAAAATATTAATATGGTCTTTCAAACTTGTCTTGATGACATGGTATCTGCGAAAGGAGGAGCTAAGGGTGTGGAGAAAAACTTTCCTTTATTGCAAAAACTGAACGAATATATCATTTTGCCCACTTCTCGAGTCTCCTCTTGAAAACGAATAAATCCACGATTCAAACACAGTGATGAAAGTCTCAGGGGAAATGTTGGACATTCGGCGTGTGTATCTCTACTTTTCTTGTTCCCTCGGCGTATTTATCGGGTGGGCCAAAAAACAGTTTCTTTCTGCGCAAAAACAGGACAGTTTTCAACGACGCACTAAACTTCACGCATTGCACATATTTCAATGCGGTTTGCGGCAATTGAAAGAGTAATGAATAAGCTTTAAAATTATGTGTTTACCATTCAAACAAATTCACCAGTTTCAGAAATTCGGGAGCTCATATGAACAGCGAACAAAAGCTGCGTTGCCGCGTTCTCAAAGATAGACGACACGTGACCTTCAGTCATGGAAGCCGCCGCCTGTCCATCCTTGTCCTGTCCTGTGGCAACGTAATTTTTGCTTGGCCTTCATTCGAGCTCCAGGACTTCTGAAACTGTTGATATTTGATATGAAAATACACCATTGTAAAGCTTATTCACTCATCTTTCAAATGCCACAAACCGCCTTAATATATACTAGCAGCATATGGCCGCAATTGCGGCCTGCCCAAGTACCCATACTTTTTTGGCATGGCTCATCAGCTAAGAACAGTTATAGCCAGATTCTCTTGCCAAAATGTGATCTACAGTTTACGATGGAACATATATCCATCAGAGAGATGCCGAGGGACAGCGTGGTGTCTCTGCCAGTATATGCGAAAATAACCAAAAATAAGTTCGAGAAGGGTCAAGTAAACAGTTATGGTAGGAACCATGAAATATTAAGAAACGTGACACAGGTGGGTAAGAAACAAACGTTTATTTCATAATGAAATCCTCGACAAAGGAATTCGACAATCAAGGAAGAAGTTATTCATATACCACAATTGTCGGTAATGGTGCCATGCCAGTATCAGTTTTGCCTTGCTTCGGTCCATTGATGACCTGAATATTCAGCGAAGTCTCACAGCGAACTCGCCAGCAGGCAAACGCACAATTCCGCTTGCGTCAATCCTGGCTCCGGAAGTAGAACCCCGATTCGATCGAATTTCTCTCCTCGAAAAGTATTTGTAGTCATACTATAGGAAAACACAATAGGGAATTAAAATCGATAATAAATAAGTTGAACCGTATGTGACGTCGGATGACGCGTCCAGTGAAACTCTCTACAGCAAATTAACGCCGCCACAAAGCGCACCCGTGTTCACCGCAACTTGTAAGACATTCACATTCATGCTTCTCACGATTATACGCGTGCCGTTGCAAAGGCTGTTCTCAATCGAGAGACACCGCAGAAGCATTACATTAGCTTCAATTTTAAGGCTTCGGGCATACGGAGGATTTAGAATGCTGAGGAATTCACCCAAAAAGTTCACCTACCTGTAGGCATTATCACCATGATCGTTTTTCAGTGGCGATACCGTGATAAGTTCGCATTTCGTCTTATAATCCAGACAACACGTCCTAATCGACACAAAGGGGAATGCTCATTCTTGTGACACAATTGACGTGCTTCCTGCACACTTCGGCATCACAGATCCTGCGCCACTGATAAAATAGTTGGTTCACCATATCAGAGATACAATCTTTTGTAAACACGTGCAAAGCATAGATTGACCAACCTGTACTCGAATAAGTGTCCCGTTTCGCACATCGAGCAATCATCGATCAAAACGAATTAATTTGCTGCAGCACACGTTTACACTTGAAGAAAAAAATCAGAAGAATGACCACAACGGCTCATTATAATGGAAATCGATCTGACCATGCAGGGTCCATGCAGGGTCCATGCAGACGAATGGCAACACTTGACGAACGTCACCAAGCACAGCTGGTATATAAAGTTTGCCACAGAACGGACAGTCCATCGAGTCTCGCCACGCTCGCTAGATCGTTGCCAGCGCTTCAGCAGGCGTCATCAGCATTTCGTCCGAAACGATGACGTCCGTAGTTCGAATCACCGTCAGATTATTGGGCAATGAACGACGCGTTTTAAGCTCCAGCTGATCAAACGACAAGTCGATGGCCGTGTGACATATACCGCCAGGTCGCAGAATTGCAGCAATATCAGTCCACGCAACGCTCATAAAGATCCAGTAGATCCAGTCCTCTGCTTCTCAATATATGGTGGTGTGTGGTGTACAGCCTGATGTACAGGTTTTAGCCTGATGTAAGCCAAATGATAGACCTCACCGGGCGTTTTGAAGCAATAGGGACCGTTACCAGAAATGTCAATAACTGTTGCAGCGAAAGGAAAGCAAACGCGTTTGCGCTGTTATACCGCCCGATAAACTCGCGAAAATCGCGAGGTTAGTGCCTTCCCCATCAGCAACGTTTAACATTCAGATGAATACTCCAACGGGTTCAAATGGAACACCTTCCCACGATCATGACGACAATCGTGCCGAAATTTCCCTTTCTTCGCTTCGAAGTGAGCAGCCTGGCAGTACTTAACATTACTTTTACATTCAAGAGGCCAAGATCGTGCAGAACGGCTGAAATGACTCCCTTGCCAACCAGTTCACCTCTCCTCTCGGGATTAGCATTCTCCCGTTACTCACTGGACAGTGCAGATCTAAATTACCTCGCCTCATCACATTCAACATTTTACACTTTAATTCAAAGAGCCCGAATATTGTGGTGGTGTCTGTCACCCCAACGCGCGAGGCCAACGAGTCCATGTAATTTTAGGCCATAGGCTAGGCCATCCGCCTCTCAAAGCGCCAGGTGCATGAAGCCATGCTATTCTAGTCATGCTATTCATCTTGGCCATCCAACGCTCTTAGCGCCAGGTTCATATGGCCATGCCAGTCTGAGCCATAGGCTGTGGCTCATCTTATTATTTCTATAGGCTTCATACTTAGCTGTGTCAAGCAAAGGGTGCTACTAACCGAATGCGCGTCACGTTTTAACTGATCGATTTCAAGTTCTCTATATGAATACATTCTTTCTTGGAGTATTTTTCTGGATTTATTTTTTTCGTTAGGCCAGGCGTGGCAGTTCGCGCCACCGCTTCCATGCAATAGTTTTCTATTTGCGCTTCATGTCATGGCCGATTTATTTGAGTTCTCA